CGCCAGCCCGGGCTGCGGCGGGGCGCGGGGAGCGCAGACGGCGGCGCGGGGTGACAGCTTGCTTTGGGCCCACGTCGTTAGGACTCGCTCAAAGTTTATAGGGTCTGTGGCAGCGAGCGTGCGGACATTGGGGAAACGGGAGTCCGGCCACCCTGTCAAGTGATAGTAGGTTAGTAAGTTTTGGCAGGGCAGTGATTAGGTTTGGCTCTTGGTTGACCCCGAGGATACGTGTGTCTTCCCCCGAGCAGCCATCATGGTGCGCATGAACGTCCTGGCTGACGCCCTCAAGAGCATCAACAATGCTGAGAAGAGAGGCAAACGCCAGGTGCTCATCAGGCCGTGCTCCAAAGTCATCGTCAGGTTCCTCATTGTGATGATGAAGCATGGTAAGTGTGTTGTTGGCTCCCGTTTCATTGTGTGGCTGTCAGGGCACATGGCATGTCATGCCTGGGATCTGACACTGAATTGGTGCGTTTTAAATTGTAGCCTGGATTCTTTGGGGGTGTTGCTCTCAAAGTGTTATGTGGTACTGGGGGTATGGAAATGAGCAGCTCAACTCTACCCAAACTGCCCAAAGGGAAAGATGAGAGAGATGAATCCAGCAGGCAAAAAGGAATACTGGGGTGGTGGAAAATTCGGGTCGCAAACTGAGGTATTGTGTTTGTTCCTTAGGCTACATTGGCGAGTTTGAAATCATTGATGATCACAGAGCTGGGAAAATTGTTGTGAACCTCACAGGCAGATTAAACAAGGTAAGGATGGTTTAACGTTCTTGTCTTGAAAATATTGAGTAGAGTGCCCTACTGCATCTCATTTGTTCTGTAGAGTTGTCTGCTGGATACTTGGGCTGAGTTGTGTGTGAGTGAGTTGTGAGCTGTGTGATGGGTGTTGGGAGAGAAGCTAGCCTTGGTGGTCTGGTACTTGAATCCTGGATGTGGTATGCCCATCACTGGCTGGAACTTGGCTGGTCGTGGGTGTTTTGAATCTGTCTTGAGTATGTGGATACCAATATTAATTAGTACTCAGTTCAGTTTTATTGCATAGGCTTTAACTGTGTCCTTGAGGTTTAGGTTGCCTTTGGGGTGGAGACAGGGTTTTTAGCCCTGGCTGGTTGTGAGTTAGCAGTTGTCCTGTCTTGTCTCCAGAGAGGATTATAGGTGAGCTGTATTTATTGCCTGTAGGTTACCAAATTGTCCTGATTATTCTAATCCTTTTCACTTAAGGTATAACTGATCCTTTTTCTAGAGTCAGGATGTCAGTATGCACAGGGTATTTTTAAGTGGCTGAAATTGCTAGTCCACCACATGGGAAAACACAACAAGTTGCTAAAGACAGGTTTGGTTGATAAAGTGCTCAGTGCAACAGTTTCCATGTAGCTTCCCTGTATATATAGCAAGCTTGTTTCATGTTAAGTAAAAACTACTGGGATGAAGTCCCAAAGATTATTGGAGAAGTTGCTAGGCTTGTTGAAAATGGTTTTGTTACAGTTGCCACCTCTAATGGGAGAATGGGCCTGGTTTGGCTGCTTTTTCATCTTTTTAAAATAAAAGGGGGTGCCTTTCTGCTTGCTCTTAGGCCTACAGTATCCTGGCTAGTTAGTAACTTGGGTGAGTTGCTTTAGGACAAAACAAGTAATGTTTCCATGTTCTCCCAACTTTCAAATCCTGTTATAAATAGAATTTCTTGATGTCCCTCAAGG